AGGTCCGAATGCCAGGCAAAAAATTCAGTGTTTCCTTGTTTGTAATTTGTAGTCGCATATAAATTAACAAACACATATAAACTTCCGTCTCACTGGAGTGGTAAAAAAGACCAATTTCACGTAATTTAGCCAACGATAGTGAAAAAACTCAACTAACCCTGAAAGTGATTATTTTATACCGAGCTCTCATCACCTGTCAGATACACACATGTTGGGAATTTTTAATATGATACCTTTATTATATTTAGCGCAGATTTCGCTTATTAAATCTATAAATAAAAGTATCGTATCTAATATCCATATTGTGTTCATTATTATATAGTTATTGTATGGATAGACGTTAACATTATATTGTTCTCTACAAATGTACCGGGTTTTCTAACAAAGCGTTAAGCGCAAACGGCCCTGGGTTTTACTCTTAAGAAAATAATAAGTGGTTAAAGTCCAGTAGCGGTCAAAATAACTACTTGTCGATGAATTGATTGTGGTCACGGAAAGACACGACTGTTGCAAAGCATCAGAAACGTCGGCCCGTCGTTAAAAATAATTTGTAAACAAGCTTTATGTTTCGAGTTTTAAATCTTTAAAGTGTTTTGTTTAAGCACTTTTAGTTTTTTAAGACTACAACATATCTACGAACATGAAAATAATAAAATACTGGCTGTAATTTACGCGCGTAGTATACATTAAAATAAAACACTTTAATTGTTTAAAATGCGATATTCTTGACCACGGCTGTTGCAAAGCATCCGAAACGTCGGGCCGTAGTTAAAAAGAATCAAACAAGTTTTACTAACATATATTGCGCTTTAAACCGTTAAAGGGTTTTATTTAAATAAAAATAATATTATCTCTAAATGACGCCTGAAATATTACAATTACTATATGAGATACTGCGAAAAGTGTCTATTAAAAAGCTCACAGGAGATTAAAAAACCCAATCGAGTAAAACCAATTTGGAAATGAAAGCAAGAGGTCTATTGGCACCAATCGCTTGCCTATTTGAGAACTAAAATAAAAGTTATACTCGGATTTAGTCCTTAAACTTGGGTACTAGCCAATACAATCTCATTGAAACTTCATCGTACTGGAAACTGGGAACAATCTCATTGGAGCGGCTGACGGAAATGGGGCCTTGGGTTGATTAAAAAATGTGTTCATTTAAATTTGCAGAGGACTCGAACCCGTAACGGTTACAGGTGCATAAAAGAATTGAAAATTACGATATACAATTCCAATTATCAAAATGGAGGCATATCGTTAAAGTTGAGTTATGTCAAATTTTGCCGAATTTTTCAACCTTTAGTAAAGTAAAACTTTATAATTGAAAATTGGCTTATATTTTTAGATGTTTAATAATTGTGTCTCGAACTACTGTACTGCATTGTTATATTGGTATATTCAAGATGAATTTTTTTGAATAACAGGCAAATGTTTTGAGTTATAAAGGCCCTATTCTTAAATAGAATTTTCTACTACATGCAGTAAACTCGTCGCGATTAACGCAATGGCTTGGCAATACTTTTACACCATTTGGCTACCGAGGCATGTCAAAATTTATATTTGGGGTAGAATTTGTAATTTAGGAGTCATTAAATTCCTAAGGCAGTTATTTCAAGCATCTTACCGATGTTGTAAGTTGCTAGTAAAATGCGTAATACATATCATTGCTAATAACTCCTACTCTAACTCCCACTCTTATTCCTACACTCATTCCCACTCTCACTTCCACTCCCACGCCTATTCCCAAAAAGCCAAGGAATTTCTTCCTTCTGTCGCATTGTTCTAGCTTCAAAAACCATGAATTTCCATACAAACTTTCATCCCCTTTTTCAACCCCTATCAACCCTTATTTGGCATTAAAAAGTAGGTCTTCTAGGCCTAAATATAGAAATTTTAATTTAAATCAGTTCAGTAGTATCGGAGTTCAAGCCGGACAGACAGACAGACAGACAGAGTTACTTTAGTTATAACAAGTAACAAATTTATATATTAACTGTTGCCCAAATTAAACCACACCACAAAGTAAAAATACATACAGAACCGTGTTTAAAATGATTGTCTTTATTACTCATCATTATCATTTTCTCACAATAAAATCGCCCCCGAATCGCGTCAACCGCACAACGATATTCGGAAATGTCATTTCCATACATTGCAATTATACTCAAAACTTTCACAATACCCTCAATAAGCCGGTACAGCGGTAATAACGGTGTTTAAACTCTTTCAAAATAATAATAAGCTATAGCCGCGGTAGAGCCGTTTCGCAAAAATTGTGCCAAATTACGCAAATTAAGAAACAGCTTGCTTTCATAGCTGCTATTTAAAAGTTTTCCCCGTTTTCAGTTACATTAACGGTTATACCTCAGCTTAACTGGTGTAATTTTGTACGCGATTTGGCGTACGCTGACAGTACTTGATGCTATCAGGACTTATGGATAATGGCGGCGCTGTAACTTGTGCGGGTCTAGGAAGAACACAGACTTACTAGAAATAATTCGTGAATTTTTAAAACTAGACAATTTGACTGGTTACACATTTTTGACAAGTATCTTGTATCGTAGAATCTATATAATATAGATTCTTATATCAACTGATTATTTTGTGGGGTTTCAACAACGAACTTAGCACTAGGTACGTGTTTACCCGTGGCATTAGTAAGTATATTTTTTGGGTATTGAGCCTTTTTCGCAGCGCACGCAACGAAGAGCCTCAAAGATGAATAATTTTCCCCTTCTTCACTTTTCGCTGTATTTTTTCACTCCTACTGGTTGCAGTATGATCTTTTATAGCCTACAGCCTTCCTCAATAAATGGTCCACAAAAAAAAAACCAATTTGAAGCAGCAGTTCCTAACATTAGCGCGTCCAAACAAACTCTTCAGCTTTGTAATATTAGTATATATGCGTATATTATATGCGATACTTTTGAAAATACTATTATATGTCTATATACAAATATATATTTCATGGTAAAATTTGTTATTAGTAAAAATTTCTATAGATTTTCGCTAGACTTTAAAATAGAGAGATTATAATGTCTTTTTTTGCACACGTGAAAATTTAAACTCCTATGTTTAAATTGTGAGGAGAAGCCCAACTTATCTACTTCAGGATGTACCGTAAAAATACCCCTCGTTCTCAACACAATTCCTAAAAATACTAAGTTAAATTAGAACATTCTCCGCTGTGTATTCGCACATTAAGCCCATATAGTGCTACAAACAGAATTATCTCTATTATAAAGTTTCGGTGGAAACGTTGTTTATTGGCAAGCGTAAGTTTTTACACCCGCCCATAAACAGCGTGGACGCTTTATCGCGTTATTAAAAAGTTTCAGCGTTTTTTCTAATTATGCTGTTTATTGCACTATTTAAAAGGCATATTACGAGTTTTTATTATCATTATACGCTACACTTTCCGCTGCGAAACTAAAAAATTCTGTCTCTATTCCACCCCTCGACTTTGTTATTTGATTTTATCTTGTTGATGTCTATTTAACGAGATATCTTAGCACTTTGGCTCTAGCTATTTTATTCTGCACTAAAACCAGATAGCCTTTTCACGGTCTGGCCACTTCTATTTTTTTTCTAGATTAATTTTATCCTTTCTACTGCAACCCGAAAAATCTTAAAGTATTCATAAAACTACATTTGATTTAAAATTTTAGATACATTAGATAAAAAAATGATATAAATTTTAGATAAAAAATAAATAAAATAAAGTGTACATGACAACATACATTTATTCCATGTCTCCACAACTCAGTAGTTAATTAATTAAAAAAATAAATATCTGTTACAATGAGCTATTTTCTCGTTTTATATTAATTAGAGAATAAGGTATATTTTTATATGCATGGACTGACATTTGAAACTAAAAACAATATATATATATATATATAAAAGAAAACAAAAAATAGTTGAAACTAGGAAGAATTCTAAATAAAAGAAAAAAGGCTATGGTTTGCATCACTACGTAATATAGTCGATTTATGTTTCGTATTTTCATGATTTATATTGTTAAATTCAGTAACCCGTGAAACTACTTATCGCTATCTCAGCGGGAAACTCGCAAATCTTTGAGCAATAATCGCAGAACTTAGTTCTAACCACCTGCTGTGTTAATATTTACGTATATTGCGTTCCTATGTTGCGAGAAATATGAAAAGAAAATATTCTTATACAGAAATACAGACTTCAGATATCGTTGTTATAAAATAATGTTGTATTTGAGTTAAATAAATATTTCGGATTTCTTATAATATTTCGCATATTTTTACAATGCTACTAAGTAAATTTTATGTATATAATCTAACCATTTTAATCATTTCAAAGTGCATATTTATTAAGAATCTTTATTTAATTTTAAGAAATATGTCTACATTGAGATACGAGCTTAGGGTCCGGTAATGTAAGGGGCTGGAACGAAGATCTTTAAGAACTTTTAATATCGAAAGATCAAAGTGTCAGAAAAGAAATTAAATCGAAGTAACTCAAGTAACAAGTGGCCATCAGGAGAACCCTAACTTAAACAGGTGTCAAACAGTTATCAGTACAAAGAAATAAATCACTTCGTAAAGAGCAATTAAATGGCTCAGAAATAGAGCCTTCACAGTGACTCGAAATGATAAGAACCAGTCAAGAACTTTTGAAACACTTCAAAGTTGTTGAAGTTTGTTCTTTAGGGAAATGAAATTGTGTTTTCGGACTATCTCGAGGAGTGCTTGTGAAATATTTATGTTGCTATTGCTTATAAATGGAATAGAGATATTAATTATTGTACAACTCAAGATTTTTTTTGCCACCAGCACATATAGGTTGATAAAAATTTGTTTTTGTTTTTTTTGGGCACCTTAAACTTTTTTGGGGGGGGGGTTTTTTTGGTTTCCTTATCACCTAGTTAAATGATGAAGTTCTAGAATATTCCGATCTCATTTTACTAGTATTGGACATTTACTGCGTAACACTTCGATGGCGGCCATAAATTTATCGAAACCTCATCGATATTCTGATAGTGGGTATGATGGAGTGGTTCCTTCTGTCAATTTTTGCAGTGGCACGTAATTTCGGATATTCAAATACCTTGAGTACATGGACACGGGAAATCCATTACGCCGTATCGTTTTTGCCATCACACCTCGATTCTCAATGGTCTCTGCCTCTGCGGCGTGTTCCGGTAATTGTGATAGATGAGCACTGCAAACCCAGGTGTATAAAACCCAGCTGATATAAAAGTGTGAGTAGAATTGCATTGCCTCTGTTTGCAGCGTGGTGTAGATATTTTCGTGCGTACTCATCGATACTATTCATCAGACCTCCTTGCCTTGTCTGAAATTACGCTTTCTGTCTCTCAGCGATATGCGAGGCAAGAAAAAAATATAGCATGTAATTACTACTACAGGGACGGTTTGTGGTTGTAGAAGGTATTAAGATGAAAAAAATACAAACAAAGAGGTTGTTTGTATTTTTGCTTCTGTTCTCTTATTAATTAATTTGGAGAACAGACCTCCAAATTAATTAATAAGTGAGAATAAAGATAAAAGAGTCGTTACGTCCGTTCATTTGAAAACTATTATTATACCCACTATTATTAAAAATCTATAGATTTTTTTAACAGACATAGCATTTTAGTAAATCATAGACAAAAATATATTCTTCTACATAACAATACATTAAAACATAATATATTCTTGACTTGTAACAGACAATTAAAGCGTCATCATCTGAACAAGAATAAAAAAATAAAACGTATAAAGTGTATAATCATTACATTTTAAAAAAAAAAGTTTGGGAAAAAAAAAAACCCCCCCCCCGGGGTGAAAAAATTTTTGGGGGGGGGGGAACCCCCCCAAAAAGGGGGGGGGGGGGCCCCAAATTAAAAAAAATTTTTTTTTTTTTTGGGGGTGAGGAAAAAATTTAATAAGTTTTTTTTTTAACATACTACTACTTACTAGCCGTGCCCACGACTTCTTCCGCGTTGAATAGTGACTTGGGGTAGAAGTTTTAATTATTTAGGCTGTTTATTAATTTATGTAAGTGCTACATTGCCGCAACAACAACGTCACATCACTCTTAATCTAACTCCCACTCTTATTCCTTAACTCACTGCCATTCGCAAAAAGCCAAAGAAGAAAGTTTCATTGTTCTAGCTTCAAAAACCACGAATTTCCATACAAACTTTCAACCCCTATAAGCCCTTTTTTGGCATTAAAAAGTATGTATGCCTATGTCCTTTCTCAGGCTCTAAAATATATGTGTACCAAATTTCATTTAAATCAGTTCAGTAGTTTTTGGGTTAAAGCCGGACAGACAGACAGACATTACTTTCGCATTTGTAATATTAGTATAGATGATATAGTGTGAAGACGCTTCGCCTCCACTTGTTTGCGGTAATTTGTTCAGAGCAAACAGTATCAAAGGTATAATTCCATCAATTGTGTAAAAGATTAAGGCGAGCTCAAAGCGTTTCATATGATAGCGCTATGTCAATTACTATTGGGTGGCTATTATGACTTAATTTATCGTTGCTCCAGCATAATAATTTAGAGTGAATTAATTAGCTGTGAAACTAGAGCAGACGATTGTAAATTAGTAATACACCCCGGCTTTGTGTGGATTAAAATTGTATATAATTCATAGCTGAGTCATGTAATGTACTTAGTGAGATATTTATATTTAGTACAATTGCTTTGCTAATATATAACGCTGAAGAGTTTGTTTGAAATAATCTCGAGAACTACTGCTTCGAATTGAAAAATTCTTGCGTTGGTTAGAACATTTATCAAGGAAGTAATATACCTACTATTAACGAGTTATTATAAGAATATACAAAAAGTTTTTGCCTTTTTGTTTAATTAACAGATCGTAATAGAAACGGACAAAGAATTTTTTGTCAGAAACATTACCCAACCATAACTATCTTCTTCTGCTTAACTACTTTAATAATATATATAACGCAACATTTTTCATAATATATATTTCAGGACAGTGTAAATATTTTAAAAGCAGCTTTTATTAACAGTCTAAGTGACATGACGCATTACACAGATAATAAACTTGTGGTGTGGATGAAAATGCACTTACACCGTAAAGTTTTGCTGTTCGACTAAAATGCCGAATGGTGATGCATTCTCAGAGCTAAAAGCTTAAAGCTTTACTCAATAGTATTGCACCGTTAAATTAAAATTATGTTTTTAAATTAAAACACTTTAACGGTTTAAAACGCGATATATTAGTTAAACTTATTTGAAAATGATTTTTAACTTCGGCCTGACGTTTCGGATGTCTCCCCGTGACCACGGCTGCTGCAAAGCATCCGAAACGTCGGGCCGAAGTTAAAAATCATTTTCAAATAAGTTTAACTAATATATCGCGTTATAAACCGTTAAAGTGTTTTATTTAAATGTGTACTACTCGCGAAACTATAGACAGTATTATGTTGTCTTTTATTTTATTTTTTTACCTAAACATACTACATATCTTTTTCAATAGGAAACCTGTAGCTACCTACGCTACCTACGCTGGCTACATGTTGGCATTTTTTTTTATGATCTATTCAGTGGACCCCATGCTGGTCTGTCCTCCTAGAGTATGTGAAAGTAATATCTACATGAGTTGAGTTTGACATTGACTTATTCTAACTTTGGAGATTCGGAAATCCACAGACTGAATTTGTGGACGCTGGCTCGTAACCCAGGCGGAGTTCTCGATACTCCTACCTCCTATTTAATATTTAGATTACCAGACGAAGAAAAACTTGTTTTAGAATAACTATATGACAAATGAAATGTAGGACCCGGCGGGGATCGAACCCGCTACAAATTATAGAATAAACGATAGAATAACAATATTTAAGTTATAATAGGTAGAAATTGCTCGAAGTGGGGCACATCTAAAACAATAAAAGCGACACAGTTCTTTAGATTTAGATAACAGTTTTATTTTAACGTAAAAGCTTCTTTACGATTCCACTCCAGAAGGCTTTTATTCTTGAAAATTATCTTTTTGACGAGCGAATACTGTCTCAAGGATTTTATTAGCAACATGAAATTTTTACAACGACTGCCAAGTCGCCTTAACCCTATCGAGGCCATTTTGTTGGCGATTCAAAATGAAATATTCTTATAGCGCGAGGAGTCGGGTGTGAATTTTTACGATGAGATAAAGTACTTTTGTTTTATAATATAATTCTATTCCATTTTAGTAATATACAGTTCCAATATTATTGATTGACATTGAGGAAGTACTGCATGTTGTCTTGTGAACGTCGTTTTGATTTGTTTGTTATACCTCCCTTATTCTATAGTCTATAGTTTGAATCACACACACTTACACATTTAAATAAAACGCTTGGACGGTTTAAAACGCGACATCTTAGTTAAACTTATTTAAAAATTATTTTTAACTTCGGTCCAACGTTTCGGATGCTTTGCAGCAGCCGTGGTCACGGGGAGACTAAAGTTCATACCACTACATCAACGCGCCTCTCGTTATTAATAAATCGTAATAGCGATGATGTTTTCCATCCATGTGAAGCCAACATTATAGAGATGTTAGATTAAACCAACTGGGGCAGATATCGTGTTAATATTAACAGACCCAAGCGTATAGTTACGCACAAATGCGTTGCACGCTACGTGGTCTTAGAGATATTGACTAATGATTTCCTTGTACAACTTGACACGTTGGAATTGCTATAACATAACTATAACAGCGTATAATCGGCTTCGTGCTTCGGTTGTGAAACGCGCTTGAGCGTACCACAGTTCGATTCTTATTCGTTGTTATTACGCTGTATAAATTTTTGTTACATTTAAATCTAGTTTACAGTGTAGTTATTTGGAGAATGATAAGGTAGGAAAATACATCAGAAAAGTATAATAGTTAATTATGTTAGTAAAAAAAGATAGTGACATTAATATGTATACAGTGGCTCGTGGTAGAAACTATACAAGAAAAAAAATTGAACGTCTTCGTTGTTCTGCAGAAATATATTTATTCGCACAATACTTATATCTGTGAAAATTAACGAAAGCTTCGCATAAGTCTCCGGTACGGGCGGGGCTATTATTTTGGAATTTGCAAATGAGTGTGCTTTACGAGTACTGTAATATCCACAATCATTAGGAAGTTGTATAATTTAAGCATATTTCGCACTAATGACTGAATGAAATCGTTTGAACACTGTTGCGAATGAGTGAATGATTTCAAAGTCAGGCATGATAAACGAAAACTACAAAATTATTTCAAAATACATAATTATTTATTTAGTATAAGTAAATCCAGCCCGAAAATAAGTGGAATAAATAATTTTATTGAAGTGTGAGCATTGAAGTATAGCGAAGCGGTAATAGTTAAAGTTAAAGCACAAACTTTGGTAATAAAATAAACAGTTAAATATTGAAAATAGCAATTGAGTTTTCCACATTACAGCAAAGAAGTTGATTTCAACTCGATATTAAGTTTCATACGCAGCGAAATTGCTTTCGAAAACAATGAAAATTGGCAGGCCATTTATTAAATAAAGCATACATTAAGCGAGTGAGTGATATTGCGAAAAGTAGCGACAGTTGCTGAAACTGGCAAATGCAGGAAAACCCAATACGAAGCTCACTTGTATAGTATTGCTGCCAGGGGAATATACCGACGTTATCAAGTTAAACGCTGTCGGCGTCTAAGTTTATTCCAGTCGGAATTGTGTGAACTACAATCTGTTATGGGATTTAGATCAACAATTAACAGAGGCTCATACAGAAATCATTCGACGGTTTATAAGAAAAAAATAATGAATTCGTATTAATTACTTTTTTAATTTAGAAACTTTTCCATTTATTAAATATATTTGAACTACATTGGTACATATAAATCAAAGGAGATTGCTTTATAAGAATCTGTTTAATTTTATTTAGCTAACGAGAAAGTACTTTTAGGAATATAATATTAAATACTTTCTATAGCTTACGTGAGTATACACTTTCAAATAAAACACTTTAACGGATTAAAACGCAATATTTTGTTATGAATGTTAACCTCTCCCCGCGACCACGGCTGCTGCAAAGCATCCGAAACGTCGGGCTGAAGTTAAAAACCATTTTCAAATAAGTTTAACTAATACATCGCGTTTTAAACCGTTAAAGCGTTTTATTTAAATATAATATTACTTTTATACCGTAACGAGTTAATTTCAGTTTCAATAAGTTTAACTAAATACTTTTAAACCTTAAGTTTTTATTTAAATAATATTATTTGTAAAATTGAGCATTACTTTTTATGTTAAAAAAGTATATATGCAATTTAA